ACTGAGCTAAAGTTTGGTTCCTTCACGGACTGATATTGACTGGATAACAAGTGACAAGAAAAGAGAATCAATAAGTTATCTCGTCCCAGATTACATAGACTACTAAATAAATGCTCATACACGACAAATCCAAGGAATCGAATTAGGGTTAATGTATCTAGTCAATATCTGGCTAACGTATCTATGAAAAGTAAAAATATTCGCCTACAATCAATCCACCACACTACATTAGTACGTTACTTAGCTTAAAAGTACACCGGAATAGTTTGCCCCTGATAAAATACATTCTTTCAAGAATCCATTTTAGAGACTAAGTTTACAGTTATAATTTCTAATTTTGGTCAACATCTGATAGCTTTATTTTATAACACATTTTAAATGTCATGTTTTATTCACAATAATTGTTCTCAATTATCTTGGAATTGTTGTTTAAGATCATTCATAGACCTTATAATGTCGAACACCATTTTGAAGATTGTATTTGCAGTGAAAGTTTAACCTTTAAGAACCATACAATTACCATGGTATTTATGTTTTTCTTTTTTTTATAAATAGGGCATTTAAAACAATCCATAACTAACAGATAGTAAAAATTAGAAGGACAGAAAATCAGTCAATCCGATTTGATAGGTAGTGTTCATTCACTAATAATATTTTATGTTACGGGTTAAGATTAAAAATCTTAAATGTACATTAGATTGTATTTTTAAATATATCGGGAAAATGTATCCTTTAACCGATACTGTAGTGAACAAGAACACTAGTTGGGGACAATCAAATGTATTTAAGCACAAATTACATACTATCTCACTAAATTCTGATAACCATACAGCAAACAATTCATTTACAAAATAACAACCAATTGTCTCAATCTTCACTATTCCTTCTGTTAATATCAGTTCATCTTTTCTAATTCCATCGTTCATGCATTTTCTTACCGATTGCGCTTCATTCCTGTTCATTCCTTATCGGTCTTCTGCCAAAATACATTCTATGTCCGACCATCACCATATACTACTTACATGGACATAAGTAGCCCTTACTACAATACTAATTAATGCAAATGATTATAGTTTATAAAAATTTAATACATTTATTATAGTACTACTTATAAGTCAATTGTATTTTTACATAAAAATTGAAATGATATATATATATATATATATATATATATATATACAAACTGAACATTGTTATTCATTTGAATGAGTAAAACAACAATTGGACTTGAAAAAAGTTTTTAAATTAAAGAGGGAGAACACTTTTTTAGTGTATTTTTTTTAATGACTTATGTATAAACATTTTTGTTGTTGTTTTTTTTTTTGATTAAATTTTCCGTAGAAACAAAAAGTGTTTAGATAAACAAAACATTGATTTCATTATACATAAATGAGTAAAGAACAAAAAATTACTAGTACTGTATTATTAAACGAAATTAACTAAGGTAAATAAATTGGAATTTAATTAACTTACTTATTAGCATAATTTTAAGGACATCAATTTAATAATATAGATTTCAATTGTTTTTAGAAATTTAAATTCACTTTATATCTATATAAATACTGTAGAAAATCATTGACGTCATGAACTGATCAATGTTAGAACATCAGTGAAAATGTGGAAGCACTGAGTAGTCATTTTGTCTTAGTATGAGACTTATTAGCAGGGTATATCCATGATTTCGCGAGTAAGATTCGAACCTAGTACCTCTGAATTCTCATGAATGTTTAACCCCCTGGTCATGTGTTTAAATCCTGTGTGCGCGATTGTGGAAGTGCACTGATGAAGAGTCTCATATTAGGACAAAATAACCGTCTAGTGCTTTCAGGTTTACAATGTTGGTCTAAGATTGGTCCTTTCATGATTTTCATGAAATTTGACATTTTAGCTATGTTTTATTCACTGAGCTGGATGGTTCGATCATCGAGATTTTATCATTCTTTTCAATGAAATTATCTGCACAAACTCCAGGTAGAAGTTTGATGATGTTGTTGAAAAGAATGATGATAGCTTCGCGATCAACCCATCCTTCTCAGAAAACAAAACTCTATCTATATCATCCATCTGAGCTGCGAATTTTCTTTACCATCTCGAAATTCAACAATCTTCACTACTGAAAACTGAAAACGTCGGAAAATGTTGATCTAAAAATTTTTTTCCATGAATTGAAAAGCAAATTATTTCACTTATCGCCACATATTTATCTTTTCTAAGAGCACAGAAAAATTATTGACATAATGAGTGATATTTAATTGAACTAATAGTAAAATAATATTTGTTTTTAATGAAAACTTTATTTATCACCTTGCGAATGTGTCAAAACAAAAACAGTTGTAGTGAATGAGGACACAAGTGGGGACAATCGAATGTAATTGAACACAAAATTACAGAAAGTCTTGGTAAAATCTGAAAATCATACAGTAAATGCTCCATTTGCAAAATGTTAATCATTCGTCTCATATTTCATTGTTCTTTCGTTTCCACACCAGTCATTTTTTGTCCTCTTTCTCTTTTTTTCTATCTTCTTAAGCTTCTTCTGCCAGGTATTTTACCCTCGACTGATGTTAAATACTACTTATATCTACGGACATCAGTAGCACTCACCACATAATAAGTTTCGTATTTTTATTGAGTATTCAAAATGAAATATTTGGATGAATCAACGAATTACTTTTTGAATAGCTGATAAAATTATTTCATAATTTTTTTCTTAATTTCAAGACTTCATTGTACAATTTTAAAAGTTAACTGGTACAATCATCAAAATATGAACACTATTATAAGTTTTAATTATTTATTTATTTAAACACACAAATATTGATACAAAGGAGCACCAGATATATATGCACCACACAAATCGCATTTGATTTGTGTGAGGCCTGTGATACTGTCCGGGTGCCGAAACAGAAGTAGTTGGTTTTCTTAGGGGGCCACACCCGGAGCCTTTGACCTGAAGGTTCAATTTACAAGGCAGTAGGGCGACGTCAAGAGATGTAGTTCCATGGTAGCCAGTGACCAACAATAGGTTCATACGCCTTTTGTTCCCTCAGTATCCTGGAGCTCATGTGCAACATTGGTTTGGAATCAGAGTTTCCCAACTGACCTAGGTGGATCCTACACATCAACCAACCTAGTCAAAGCATCAGGTGTTCACTTTTCGTCCTCTAAATTTTGTAAACAATACCCCCGCCGCGAGAAGGCAGTGAGTAGGACAATTGTCTAAGTTCGTTGATTTGTTATTTTCGCTTAATTATTTCAAGATAATGATTCGTGTACAAATATGTTTGTCACATTCTGATATTTAGTTGTTTGGATTATATATTTTGGTCGAATGCCTTAGAATACTCTGAAAACTGATGTTCATTCAAATTTGACATATCAGTTTCCTCTTTGTTATGATCCGTAAACTATAAATATTTTAGTTCAATACAGAAGTAAAATTACCAGATTTGAAATTTTCACTTGATACTTGACCGCTGGTTAACTAAACACAGTTGTTTTTATTATGTTCACTATAAAAGGATTATTGTTGAAAACAGATTATTTCTTACTACTTGATGTCCACAGAGGCAACCAATACATGCGAAATATCTGTATGACCTTTGGAGACAAAAGTTTCTAACATAAATCATACAATTACGTTTGATACGAACAATTCGGAAGATTTATTTTATCTGTACATTATGTTAAGTATTTTTGATTTATTTTTTAAATAAGTTTATCTTAATTAGCTCAAGCTGGAACTCTGTACTGAACTTTAGTAACCTTAAGTATAGAATAGTATATCTTTCTTGACTTGTTTTAATCCAATAGGAAGTATATAAGAACTGCCTAATACCTGGTATGGCTAGACCTCACTGTTCACGGTCTCTCACTAGAAATCATGGAATTATTCATCTATCAGTATATGATTAACATTAATGTAAAGAGGATTTGTAGAAACTGTGGGATTGGTTTTCATTAGAAAAACATCGAAAACCGGGAAACACTGAACAGCCATTTTCTTCTCAGTATGAAACTCTTAGACAGTTACTACACATAACATGCCCGGAAATCTAACTATATGTCTTCAAAGTTCGTGACAAGCGTCTAACATTTGAACCATGAACCGTCACTCAATAGTCTGTATATCTAAATTCAACCAGTTAGAGATACTCTAAAACCATAAGTGGTAGATAACAGCCTCATCAAACATGAAATCACATTTTCTAACAATTAGCTATGCAACTATCACAACCTCTTAATATCTTATTTCCTTGAAAAAGCTTGGACCAGATTGCCAGGCGAAACGTTGGATTTACTTCATATTCATTTGCTGAGATTTTACAAATATAATATTCCTATTTAATGTCTATTAATATCTAGTTTGTAACGTTAATGAGGTGTGATAATCAAGTTTGTAATTTGGTTTATAATTCAAATAATTTGATACTATAAATGACTTTTAGAAAGTGGTAAACAACGGAATAACCATGTTTTTTCAAAACTAATATTCATATTATACAGTTTCATATTTATTCTCGATATTAAAATAACAAAATAAGCTCAATGAATGATTAAACAAAATGGATATGATTCCTTTCAACAACATCGTACTTTATAACTGTAAAATCGTACTTATAGTTACTTTTTGTTTACAAATAATGATCGATAATGTAGTGAATAATCATTACGTCCCTAACGGAGGTACTAAAAGTCAATCAGAATTTAAAGTTATGTATCTTCATTTGTGTTAAAATCGATTGTTTAAACAAAACTTTTTATGGTAAATAACAAGATGTCATAGTATTTAGAAGAAATTTTAGACTCCATTTTTCTTATATCTTAGGGAACTACCTGTAAGCAAATGCTTAACCGTATTCTTTACAGAATAGCATACGTTTTAAGGAGAATATTAGTTTTCCACTTTTGAATTAAGTACATAATTAATAAGTTGACATTTCGACAATTATATTTCCAATTCTTTGTGGTAACGAAATGTCTATTTCTGCAATCTTTAGGAAATTATCCAATTAAATTTGAAGAAAGCTCATTAATAGATTTAGAAGCAGTATTCCTTTCAGCATTACCTGGCCTTCAGTCTAATAAATGTTTTGAATGTGGATGTGTATTAGATTCACATAGCGGACATGAACTTAAAACAAATAATAAAATTAATGAAAATAATGACTCATCTAATAATAGTCTCAAATCAATGAAACGTCAGAAATCTCATAAAGAAGTATTTTCACACTTACGACGTGTTCGTTCTCATCATCAGTTCAGTCAAGTCGATATTACTCCACAAGCTACAATGATGCGCATTTGTCATATGACTGGAAAATATTATTGCGAACATTGTCACTGGGATGATACTTGGTATGTACCAGGTTCAATATTCCTCTTAAACGATAAATCTAAACAACCTGTAAGTCTATTTTCATCTAATCATTAAAAATTCATTATCAATTTTAACACACTTATACAAAATTCAGATATTACTTTCTATCATAGGTGATAGAAACATCTATTTGTTTCTCTTATATATGAGGGGTATGTTTCCTTTCCTTTATAATTTAAGAATACCTTTTTTAAATATCAGTGTATAACAATATCTAGAGTGAGTTTAATTGTGACTTATCCATAAAGTAATAATATCAGTTAAATAATTAGTGACGAATTAAATAAATTTTCGATCACTTCCATGAGAAATAAATTTGAAGACTCAATTAATCAAACCCGTTTGTAGTTTATATCATACAATAACTTTGATTATATTAGGTTGATATCCAGAAAACCCTTAAAAGCTATATCATTATAGATTCTGGCTTCTTAGCAATACTTTCCCACGATATCATCAAGAATTAAACTCAGAATCTTGAGAAATAATAGCAAAGACTTTAGCATTATATCACTGAGTTAGCATTCAAAGGTTTATGAAACTAAATATAAGGAATTCTTAATGGTGATTGACTGTGTAATCTGTTTCTGTCGATGGTATTTTTTCAATCTAGACATGCCTTTATTCTATTGGACACACTATATTACCGCGATTTCTGGTATTTTTCTAGTAGTTTGTTAACAGCCATATTATTATTATTATTATTATTATTAGAAAACAAAATTTATTGATGTAATTTAGATAAGATTCAGTTTACTTACAAAATAATCATTCTTGACTCATAAAATCTGAACCATTCATTATTTTTTCCTAAACAGGTTTGTCGTTCAGTCTACATTAAATTGCGCATTATTTGGGATTCTTTGATATTGAAAGTTCCAGCTTATTGGCATCGAGATAACCTTGAAGCTGAAAAGGTATATGAGGTTCGAACCAAATTGCAACCACTTTTACGCTACGCAATGTTATGTCCAGAGGCTTCTTCGATAAAGGCTAGTGCTGAGGTGAGCTTCTTTTTATCGACAATGTTATATTTGATTATACTGCTTATGACTTAAAGCAATATCGAGAAAATCCTGACAGGATGCACAGTTACCAATAAGCGATTGATCAGTTGCAGTCCTAGACATCAACAAATAATACAAGATGAATTTAAACTTCATCCCTTTGCTTAAGCCAGTAGCTAATAGAACTCAGTAGCCAAGTGAATAACGAGAAGGCGTTTGAGGCGAACAGTACTGGGTTCGTGTTCCAGAGTGAACACTAATTATGGAAAGCAGCTATGTCCAGCCGATGAGTCGCAAATAAGATGAAACGCATGTCCTGAATATCACTACTAGCCACTATACATCTTCGTTTATAAAATTGTATTTGTTTACAATATAGGACTGACCACTTTTTATCTCCATTTTTGACCATTAAACTGAATGGAATTATAATCTTTCTCTTTAGACATAGACAAATTTGTCAATTTCAAAGTATGACATAATTGTTAAAATAGATATTGCATACCATATTGAGTAAAGACAATTTACCAACTTATTAAATAAGAATCCCATGGATATGTTTATTACATACAACATCTATCATAACATGTTAGTCATGTATAAAATATCTAAAAGATTTTAATACTTTTAGAGACCTAGTTACAAAGATAACTAATTTTTAAGTTATAGAAATTAGTTACATAGCACCAGATTATCTCAATTTAAACTAGATATAGTTTAGTTTATTTATAATCCTATATATTTTTTAATACAGTCCTTCGTAAATGAACTTTATAGCTTAAATGTCTCATGATAGATCATCATACTTTTCATTCTACTATTAAAGTGAATTACTAATTTATTATTGCTTATAAATTCTTATTATAAAAAATATTTTTCGAAAATATAATGATTTAATACATGTGAATGAGTATTGCTGAGGAGTCTCATACTAAGACGAAACGGCCATTCTGTTCTTCTAGGTTTTCCATGGTAGTCTATCATTATTGAACTCATGAATTCAATTAACTAAATTACTATTATATCCACAAAATCCCTTTTTTGATTATAATACATGTTTGTTATATGTATTGAATAAACTAATTTACGAAAGAGTTAATGTTATACCACATGAGATACTTTAAATATTGGTTAACGTTCATTACAACATTAATTTGCAATTGTAAGCAAAAATGGATAGTGGCTAGAAGTGGAATTCAGGACGCGCGTTTCCTCCTATTTGGGACTAGTCAGCTAGATGTACCTGAATCTCACAGTTGATGTTCACTCAGAGACTCGAACCCAGTCAACTTTCGCTTCAAACGCCATCACGTTATCCACTCTGCTACTGATTCCTGATAGCCACTTGCTTGTGCGATGGGGTAAAGTTTAAATTCACATCAATGGGAAGATTCAAGCAAACAATACTAAGTGAATTTAAAATGTGTAACAGTTTTATTTAATGGCTAAACAATCATAAACAAATGATTAAATTAGTGAGTTTATTGATGTTTTATTTATAATTCAAAAGAGTTGTAAAATTTAAAAGGTGTGTTATTCGCATTTGTATTAAAAGTTATCTAGTATATTTAAATCTTAGTACTTACATTAAAAGTAAGTTAGTAACTGTGATGAAACAAAGTAATTATATAAAGAACTTTTGAAACTTTTATTAATATTTGTTATCGGTTGGTTTCTACGCTTTTGGGATTAATTAACTGTACATCCAATCTAAAGAATCGAGGTTTCTAAAATCACATTTTTAAACGTACTGGAGTAATTTTACTTGGTATTGTTTACCTGAATGTTTACATTCATGTTTAGGATTGCAAATGATCAGTGTCCGATTGGTATATGTACATACTATGCGTATTGCTTCGATATTGCCTTAATTCGCAAGCATTTTAAACAAATATGGATAGTACTGGCATAACTATAAAACTTCTAAAACCCGTTATTTATCAAAAGAACATAGTGTACATTACAGATTTAAGAATCTCAAGAATTTGTTTGACCGGTGGGTATGGGAATCATGTCTACTGTAATTTACATTATAGTATAAATTTGTTAATTTGTCAGTAAATTTGAAAGTTTTGTTTTCTGTTTGTTTTTCTAAAGCTTACTGGACCAAGCTATTTGTTGGGTAATCCTGAATATTTTCGTATGTGTGATGTCCTTGATGCGCTGAATGGAACACTTTATCCTAAGTTAAAAGAGCATCTGAAAATTTGGTTAGAGCATAAAGCACACTGCGAAGTAAGTCACTCATTTTACATAATATTTACTTGTGTTAATGCAATAATTAAATCACATATTTTCACTTTAAACAGCTAATCCTATGAACGTTTATCAGAAGTTATTTTGTGTTATGTTTGCTATTTGATTAACACGGAATACGGTATACATCTAAAGCACTCAAACGTATAGAACTCTACAGTCGCAAAATCAGAAGACAGAAGAAAACTGGAGAGGTGTTTGTTGGGTAACAATCAAAATGTACAGAAAACCAAAGGCAGTTATAGATATTAGCGTTCGTAATAACATCATAATAATTCAGCCAATCCGCAAAGTGGCAGGTTATGATACTGTCCAATTGTAGTATACCGCGTTGATATTCTAGAAAGCTCCATCATGGTCCGATTGGATGGAAACTCTTCGGCTCTTTTGGGGCCTCTGGAGGCTTCGTCGTAATTCTTTGAAGCCGTCCCAACATTTTGTATGAGATCTTTCTCATTTTTTCCTTCTAATTAGCACTAAGAATTTTATTGCATTAATCAGACTGAATAATACTTCATATTTGTTAAACGATACAAACTTATGAATATCTCAATTTTTATTGTTAAAACTATTTAGTTGTATTTTGTTTCGTTTTTACACAGATTAGCATGACAATATTATTCTAAGTATTCAGAAATTCACTTGTGTACAGTTTTCCAAATCAATTTATTGTTTTATAATTTCTTTCTGAGTTGGATAAGATTAGACTTAGTTTACCCAGTTGAGTTTCCCTGCATGGGTTCGAATCCCATCCACGTCGCCAGTTGTTATCTATAGAGTTTATATTATTGATACATTGCGTACAAATTCAGCCTTTGAACTCTAGAACCCTGCAAGTTGCAAATGAGAAGTCGGAAGACGAGTGAGAAGGAATGCTATTCCAAACAGTGTCGAATATGGTACAAAACTCTTAAGTATTTATAGCTTTTATTAAAATCGAAATAATTATCGTGGTCATCCAATCCGCACACAGAGGTTTTTAGAACTTGTCCAATAGAGAAGCTATATGTCGAGATTCTTGAATGTTCTTCCAAAAGATTATTGAATGGAATATCTTTTTCTGTTTCTTATAACTTTCTTGAGTTCATCCGTGGGTCGTCCTCAGATACATATAAGATTATTCATTGACATAAACTTTATTTTAAACATTTAGTTCTAAGATTATAAAGTTGAATTGACTTATGGCTAATGTTATCAGGGTAGCATTTGTAATACAGTGAATTGATCATATGTAACAGCTCTTCTTTTCAATATCTTAGGTTATAAAAGCTTTCAGTCATTAGACAAACATAATTAAATGCATGATAAGTGGCATCTTTTAAAAAGTATTGAAGTGGTGAAAGCCAAGATATGCTTACCACCATTCATAATAAATTGTGTGCTTTTTGATAACTTATCTTGTCAGATATAATTATGATTCATATTTGTGTCTCAATAAATTAAAGGTTTGAAAAATGTATTTATACCCAATTTTTCTTGGTTATTATTAGGTGTAAATTTGTTACTTTTAACAATGAATATATCTACTGATGCTTCATTCAGTTAAGCTTGTAGGATTTACTGTAAAAATAGCAGAGCATGAAAACAAAACTCAAGTATTCTTAGTTTATGAATTATTAAAGATTGAATTAAATCTTATGGTAGTACACATGATACGAGATTTGTACGAAATGAATTAACTATAATTGACTTTAACTGGCAGCTCAGTGGATGAGAACACAAGTGGGAACAAACGAATGTATTTGAATACAAAATCACAGAACTTTGAAGTAAGGTCTGAGAATCCTACAGTAAATTCTTAATTTGCAAAATCTCAGTCAATCGTCTCAGACTTCACTGTTTTGTTTTCACACCAATCTTTCCTCAATCTCGTTCTTTTTCTTTGGTCTTCTTAACCTTCTGCTGCCAGGCATTCCATTTTCTATTGACGATACATACAACTTATATCTGTCGACATCAGTAGCACACACCACAACAGTCTGTTAGTCAATCTATATGATCAAGGGATGTATATGAACTTAAATTGACGAAAAAACAGGAAATTAGAGTATTACAGAATTTCGGTCTTAATGAGATCGTAAGGTCATCTTTCTAAAATTTGACTTTTTTCATTTTTAAAAAATATTGAACAGGTACATTAAAATACCAAACTTAACTGGATAAATTAAAAATACATATATTACTAAATTACTAATATTCTCTTCAACTTAATCAAAAAAATAAAGACATAATAGTTGTTTGAAATAGTAACAATAACTCATTTGTAAGTAGTATGGTATGAATTATGTAAGAGATATCAGTCAGTCAGTTTGTCACAACGTAGAACTTCGTACATACGTACATCAGTTCGAGTTTTCATACCACATTAGCATACAGATGCAGTTGTCGATTCAAATCTCAAAGTGGTAGAAGTAATAAAAGTATAAGCAGTAATCGGAGAGATTAGGGGTTGAAGATGTTATTGAAGGAGCATAATCCAGTGAAATAAATTTAAAAAGAGAAAAAGGATAGAGACATGAAGAATTCAGAAGATTAGAATTTGGCAGAACACAAAGAGTGGATGCACCTTCGTCATTGCAAACGACTTTGAGCCATGTCACTCAAGGTCTCTAACCATTGATTGCTATCATCTCGCGAATCCCAACCAGATAGTCTACACCTACCAACATGGCTCAGTTCAATTGTCAATGACTTTGTGGATTTATGCCACGTTTTGGTCTGGCCGCTCCTAGCTTTCTTCCAATCTACTCCTACACTATAAAACATTGCACGTCGGGACAGTCGGTGGTTGGGCATACGTAACACATGTCCCAGTCATCTCAACTGGTGAAGTTTCACTACTTCATCAATCGATTTGCCATCTTTACCTAGTACCCGTTTCCTAACAACTGCATTACTTACTCGAAGATCCCAGGATATACGAGCCATGCTTCGGAGACACCTATGACCGAATACTAGCAGCCTACGAATATCCTCTACTCATGTAAAAGATAGAAAATAAAATAATTCCAGTATTGATTCATTCGATTAACCATAACTGATCATTATTGAGTTAGACATATCTCAAAAATGTACATTTTGTCAGCAATTGCATTAACGTACATAAATTGTCTGAAAGTAGAAAACCAGTTAACTATTCAACAAATAAATAATATTAATACAATATGAAAAATAAGTTAATCAATACAGAAATGATGTATCCATTCATATTACATGTAAAAATATCTGAATAAAACGTTTCGGTTTCTAATTAATGTAATATGTGACTATGCGTAAAGTCATTAATGATTTATTCATGAACGAATATAGTAATGATTCTATATTTTAATTCATTAAAATGGACTATTTTGAAAAGAGCAAGAATAAAGATTGTAGCTGTTATATCGATTGATTGCTTGAGTGCGTGCCCTGTTTGATATATGACGTGACGATGCCGCCAATTAGAGAGCAGCGAATTTATCGATCGGATTAATGATACACAAAAGCTGTATGAGCAGTCTTGTGTACTTGTCAGTCCTGCTATCAGCCTAACCCAACCAGTTAAGTCAAGAACACCAATAAAAGCCTCTGCAATATGAATCATTATTGTCAATATACTGGGTTTATATACCAAACAAACTGACCACATCGTACCGATAAAATAGAAAATAACATTTGTACAAGATTTGGCTAAATGTGGCTGTGAATAGGTGGGACAGTAATTAATGGACTAGGGATAACTCTAGAATGGTAAATCGTATAATAATAGTTTATAAGTCAAAACAAAGCTTACAATAAGAGGAACACGAATACGAATATTTTAGTTACTTAACAATTATACAATAGGAAATATACATATCACAGTGGTCCATAAATAGTCCTCATAGTTACCATTCATAATTCTCCACGGGATATAACAGTAACAGAATATCATGAATTCATTTTATTTCGTTTGGTTCTTGTTAGCTGCACTAGTCAGAACTTACCCGGTAGCCAAATTATTACTTCTCCATAAAACAATATGTTCAATAACTCAATCAAAGGTTGACAAGCAACCCTTTCATGTTACCTCCGACTGTGTTTAGAAATTTACATGTACTTGCTGAAGCAACTACATTGGCCGAATAGAAACGAGGACATATCTAAGATTTTTTGACCATGTTCCTCAAAGCTTCAGAACAAGAGAAATAAAGGTTCTAAATAGTGCAATTACCACCTTACAATCTTTTAAGGTGATTAGTAAACAACCAAACTCCAGTCTTCTGAAGTTTGATGAAGCCGTTACTATCAATTATCGAAAACCTGACTTACGTGTTCAAAAGGAGATAATTATTAATTATTCCTTGACTTGGTGACAAATATTCCTTCGTTACATCTAAACTTTGTTCCCTAACTCTTTCTTACATTTATTACATCATTGAGTTTTGTTTCAATTATCTTCCAAATTAGTAATCTTATTTTATTAAGTCAGCTTCAGTCGTTTTATTCTTATCAACGTTTACTCATTATGTTATCACTTGCTTCTGGCTCTTTGAATTGTTATCACAATCAATGTTGTTGAATCTTCTTTTACATAAGATATATATTTACATTATTTAGTCTATTAAATTTAAATACACTCTTGTTATGCTGTACTAATGTGTCTTCAATATAACTTCCAACTAAACACTTTCATGTAAGTAATTTACACCCATTTTGTAATTATGATTTTTAAATCTTACAGGTTGTAAGCAGTTGACAAAAACCAAACGAAATAAAATGATAAAGGGAACTATGTATATGAAAATTACTACTGATAAATCTAATTTGATAATTATGTAATTTAGAACAACATATATAAGCGTACAATACTGTTTTCGATTAGATCCTCATCAGGCTTTACTCTAATTATATATAAATTAGAGTATATTAAAGTATGTATATTAGAGTAAAGCTTGAGGAGAATCTACTCGAAAACAATATTGTTCGCTTATATATGTTGTTCTAAATCATAATATGGGAATTTTTCAAATTGTGTAAATGACTTATAAAATACACATGGAAATATTAAATGTTTAATCTTTAATGGAAGATGTTAATTATTAAGTGGTCTAACGGTTAAGGGCTCTGGCTCGTAACTGGTAGGTCCTGGGTTCGAATCTCGCGAGTGCAGGATCGTGGGTGCGCACTGCTGAGGAGTCCCATAATAGGACGAAACGGTCGTCCAGTGCTTCCAGGTTATCGATGGTGGTCTAGCTTCAACTGACTCATGATTTCAACTTTCAAATAATTATTAAGTGTTTAACGGAGGAAAAAATTAGGTAAATAAACTTATGTATATAATTTGTTACACTATTTATTGATTTTCAAAAATTTAATCCATAAATTCATGTGATCTAAATTCGAATTAGTGAAACATCACTTCAATTATATTACTATTCAATCAATGAAGTGTACTTTTAAATGTGTTTCTGTTTCAGTAACTCAATGAAGTTTTTGCATTTTTTTTGTAACTACCAGAATGTAAGATTTTACAACTGTTAAGCCCGATGAAATGTTATATCTAATTTACTTAGATAAATTATTTTTAAATAACTAGTGTCGCCAACTCTAGAATTTCTTATATCAGTGCACCTACTTACTACATGTTCATTAAGATTCAAGTCAGAAAACATTTGACCTTTCTCAATGGTTGAACTATATCATTCTATTCTAGCGAACTAAATATCCGTATATTGATCTAATATAAAATTGTGGGTGTGTACTAATTAATAATCTCTTTATTCAGTTTCCAATAATTTCACACTTAATACTCGTTCTCATTGATTACTAGCTTCTAAAAGATAATAATAATGTTATCTGATATTGTGGTGTGGGTTATGTATATCCACATAGGTAGTATACAATAATGGTCGGGCATTGAATGTATTTCAGTAGAAGATCGATAAAGAAAGAACGGAAACGAAACGCATTTGGTATGAAAATGCATGTAAAATAATGATCGGAGACGATGGACTGATATTTTCAGAAGAAATAATCAAGATTGATAGTCTGCAAATTAACTGTTTACTGTATGGTTGTCAGATTGCAGTGAGATAGTCTGTGATTTTGTGTTGAAATACATTCAATTGTTCCCACTCAACTTTTTGTTTACTACAATATATAAAAAAACTGTTATCACCAACTTCAAATTATCAATAACTGCACAATATTTAGAACTAATTGAAGGTAAACTTATACACCATTAGATGCAGGCTGAATAGTCTAAAGTTAAGGTGTTCGCACGAGAGACCGAAAGTCCTGAGTACGACTCTTGGCTTCAGAGTTGTGAATATGCACCGTTGAAGAGTCATATACTAAAACAAAACAGTTGACCAGTATTTCTAGGTTTTCAGTGGTAGTCTAACTAACATCGATTCGTGATTTCAATTACGATATATTTAAAATCTTTGCAAATCCCTCTATACTGATCATTATAACATTCTAATACCGTACTGATATTTCAAGTTATCAAGATATTACTGAACTGTATTTGAATAAATATGAAAATCTCTTTTTTCTTAGATAACATTTTGTAGTGGTTTTATAAAAAAAACGATAGCTGCAAACGAAAAACTGTTTTTGTAACTATGACATCTGCTATAGATAATTTATATGATTTTTCAACTCAAACAATCTAATCTTCCATATTAACTTATAACATATTTTATTCGAAAAATTGAAATTATGGTATACTGTTTTAATGATAAGACTGAAAATTGATTTTTAACAAATTATGTCTGGTATAAAACATAAATATATGGTGGTTATTCCATTTCTGATTTAATAAAAGTCCTCTATGCTATAATTTCAAGATTGATGATCTTGAAGTCAACAATATAATGAATATGTTGATTGTAATTATGTTTTGCATATTGTTTATTTTAATAAATCAGTAACTTCACCTCCATAGTGATGATAATAGGTAATCACTCCTATCATTGACTGATTTTTATCATGTTTCATTAAAATGTATGATAAAAATAGATTTTATAAGATTGTGGCTCGAGTTAGTCAACAGGAAACCCTGGACCTAGGTTTCGTGTTACTTGGCACTTGTCAGCAAGGTGTACCTGTAATCTTGAAGGAATTGATGCTCTCTGACGGATTCGATCTTTTGTCACCAGTTTCACAATCATAGACGTTACCATTGAGCTCTCCAGGCCGCAGCCAACCTCCTGTAGGACTGAGATGTATTTGCAATTGATTGATCACTGGTTGGTGATCAATGTCATGTGTGTCAGGTCCTTCTTAGTACAGTTCGGATCCTATCAACCAAGTTGTAATTAGTTTTTAATCCTATACAGAAAACAAATGATGCATACCTCTCCCTATGTT